GGCCAAACTTCATCTCTCATGCTTTGGACATATTGTCAGGAGGGACTAATTGCTGGAGAAGGATATCATGTTTGGTAAGGTGGAGGGTCAGAGAAAAAGAGGAAGACCCCCAGAGAGATAGATTGGCAAAGTGGTAGCATCAATGGATTAAAGCGTGGCAACCATTGTGAGGTTAGCCCAGGATTGGGCAGTGTTTCATTCTGTTGTGCATATGGTTGCTATGAGTTGGTACTGACTCGATGGCACCTAATAACAACAACATCCATAAGTATATGTCAAGTTCATCAAATTGTAGCAATTTATACTTACTTCCTTTATCACATTTCTTATCTTCCTCTAGTGGAGCTCTGGTCATCAAGTCATCAAGCTAGATCAAATGGGTACTATCTGCAAGTTTGGGTGTTCTTGTGTGTCTTCCCACACTTCATATCAGCTGGACACCTCACTCTCAATTCTAGCCCTCTGCGGCTAGGTCAGTGTCCATGGGCTCAGGTGTGCCCAGTAACTTGACATTTTTCTTCACTTCTTTCAGCTTGAGAAATGCTAACTATATTTTTCCTTTTTAATCTTCTAACTCCAGGTCCTTGCACATTGTGTTCTCCAGCCACCTTTGAAATCTGTTCAGCTCTTTCATCTCATCATGTCTTCAATTTGATTTAATGGAATTGTGTTCAAGAGCAACTTTCAGAGTCTCTTCTGACATCCATCTTGGTCTTTTCTTCCGTTCCTGTCTTTTTAATGATCTTTTGCTTTGTTCCTGTGTGGTGTCCTTGATGTCATCCCATAACCTGCCTTTTATTTGCCCATTAGTGTTCAATGTGTCAAATCTATTCTTGAGATGGTCTCCAAATTCAGGTGGAATACACTTAAGATTATTTAAGTTTTCGTTTTCATTTTTCTCAACTCTAATTTGAACCTGGAGGTAGTATTTATGTGCCATGGAGTCGGTTCTGACTCATAGCGACCCTGTACAGGGTTTCTAAGGCTGTAAATCTTTACGGGAGCACAAAGCCTCATCTTTCTCCTACGGAACTATAAAACATCTAATTATATCACCAAAAGTATCCTTTATTCATATCAATAAAGAAAACTGTTACTGGTGCTAATGTAAATATCAGGAAGACTACAAAAAAAGATTTCTTCTTCAAAATACTTCCCATGCAATTAAGCACTTGCCTGGTTTAACTGAATTGGGTCATGTCCTGGGTCAAAGAGATGGTCTTGGAGATTAAGGCTAGGCCTCACAAATTAGACTCAAAGGAATCATGCATCCTCTTGCCACTGGAATATCGTTTTGTCTTTCCAGAAAACCCTTCAAGACATGTAAAGGAAAGATCAGATTTAAAATGATAAATACACATAAAATGAAAAGACACAATCAGCTAGGTGACATTACAATTGGTAATGTCTGTGCTATGTGAAAACACCTTTAAAAAGAGCCTATGAGGCAAGAGATAAGTGTCTAAAGATTCATATCAACAGTATTACATAACAATATAATTCTCAACTCAGAAGCTGCCTCAAGGCTAGGTGCATCTTCAGTTAATGTAACAGGGAAAAAAGACAATGGATTTTATTAATTGCATCCACTTACAAATTGACGTAAGGTCACCAGACGTGTAGGTACAACTTGAACCTATATATGAGTAATTGATATTCTGCAATCAGCCCTGGCCTTGTTCTGACTGATGATCTTGAGTTTCTTCATCATCTCTTTCCACAGATGTAATTGATTTGATTCCTGTGTTTTCCATCTGGTGAGTTTCACAAGCATAGTTGCCACTTATGGTATGTATGGTATATCTAATTAATAGTTTATCCATCTTGCAAAACTCTTATGTGATATCTAGCATTGTTTCTATCACTAAGGTCATATTTTCCAACTACTTATCCTTCTTCTTTGTTTCTAATTTTAATATTCTAATCACTAGGAATAATTAGTGTGTCTTTATAGTGTATTTCATCAATTTCAGACTGCAGAAGTTAGTGAAAATCTTCAATTTTTTCATCTTTGGTTTCAATGGTTGGTATGTAAATTTGAATAGTAATCATATTAACTGGTCTTCCTTGTAGGCATATAGCTATTATCTTACTACTGATGGTATTGTACGTCAGGAGAGATCTTGAAATAATCTTTCTGAAGATCAGTACAATCCCATTCCTCTTACTTGTCATTCTTGGTATAATAGACCATATAACTGTCAGGTTCAAAATGACCAATACCAGTCCATTTTACCTCACTAATGCCTATAATGATCCCTGGTATGGTGCTGTAGGATCAGCCCTGGACTGGTAACTACAAGGTCAACAGTTCAAATCCACCAGCGCTCATGGAAACCCTACCCAGGGTTGCTATGAGTCAAAACCAACTCAACAACACACAACAACAATGCCTGTAATGCCTGTCTTATGCATTCCATTTAGTTTTTGACAACTTCCAATTTTCCTAGATTCATACTTTGTAAAATTCCACATTCCAATTACTAATGGATGTTAGCAGCTATTTCTTCTCATTTTGAATCATGCTACATCAGCAAATGAAGGTCCTGAAAGCTTTACTCTATCCATGCCATCAAGATCAACTCTACTTGAAGATGCAGCTCTTCCCCAGTTGTATTTAGAATACCTTCCAACCAGAGAGGCTCATCTTCGAGCACTGCATCAGACAATGTTCCGCTGCTGTTGGAAGCTTTTCACTAATCACTTTTTTAGAAGTAGATCGCCAGATCCTTCTTCCTAGTCTGTCTTAGTCTGAAAACTCCGCTGAAACTTGTCCACAATGGGTGAAATACTGGTATTTGAGATACTGATGGCATAGCTTCCAGCAACACAAGCCGCCTCACTATAACAAACTGATAGATGGACTGTTGTTGGTAAATGTTGTTGAGTTGGTTCCAACCATGCTCCTCTGATAGATGGTGGTGGTTTATTTACTATGTTGTTATTGTTAAGTGTCATTGAGTCAGTTCTAACTCAGGAGGGTTTGAACCATGGACCTTGTGGTTTGAAGTCCAGTGCTTATTCTACAGTGCCACATCAGGAGTCCTTTGTTTACTATGTTGTTGTTGTTAAGTGCCATCAAGTCAGTTTTGACACATAATGACCCGGTATAGGGTTACAAAGGAACAACTGTTGGGTTTGAACTGCTGACCTTATAGTCCACAATCCATTGCTGATCCTACAGCGCCGCATCAGTAGTACTCAATAAATAGTTGTTGAATGAGTGAATGAATTAATGAATGGACCGGTCCTTATACAAAGGGAGTCCTAATCCTGAGTTCCAGGCCTGGCTCAGCCACTTCCTGGTTGGTGCATGACTTTGGTCAAGTCCCTCTTTCTCTGAATCATGGTTTCTTCTTTCAGTGGATGTGTTCAGAACACCCACCAAATGCCCAGTCCTTAGTAGACTCCAGGAATGCCAAGAAGACCTCTGACTTCTGAGAGCTTAGAGTTAGACTTCTAGGGTTGTTGATGTTATGTGCCATCGAGTCAATTCTGACTCTTAGTGACCCTGTATAGGGTTTCTGAGGAGCAGCTGGTGAGTTTGCACCACCAACCTTGTGGTTCACACCAACCTTGAGGTCGAGGGCTTATCCTGCGCTTGCCTCACCAGGGCTGGGAAAGAGATACTCAGCATGGTCTCCTCAGGACCCCATTCCAGGTTACTCTGAGAGCTTTGATGTCATGAGAGGGTCTGCTTGCCATGGAGGTAACATTTCAAATGGCTTTTGATGCAGAGTAGGAGCTAATGTGGTAGAGAATGGCAAGGACATTTGGCCAGACACAGACCAGTAGACCTTTTTGAGGAACTGGGACGAGGGTGGTGTAAACAGAGTGGGAAGAGGAGAAGGAGGTAGAGTCAGGAGGTACGTGCTTGGAAAGGGGACCTTGAAAGCTACAGTCAGAAAGGTGCCTGGGCTCTGCTTTCAGGGCACATCAGGGCTTGAAGCAGGATTGAGGCACATGAGGCTTTGAGTATGGACATCTCACTCTGGCTGCTACCGTGGGAGAGAGATGGAAAGGACCAACATCTGGCCTGAGATATAGGTGGCTTGGCTGGGTCAGGTCAATGGGGATGGATAGGAGGGTGTAGAGCTGAGAGATTTAAGACATAGAAACAGTGAAGCATAGTATAGTGACAGACTGAGAAGGAGTAGTTAAGGAGGAGCCCAGAGCAGCTGAGAATGAAGGGACCAGAAGGAAGATAGAAATGTGTGTGGAAGCTCTTTGCTAACTGTTGAGTAGACTACCAACTGCTCAAGCTGAGATGTTTTGAGAAACCCCTGAAGATGCTGGTAATGGGGCAGAGAGGGTGTGTGGGCCTGTCGCTCTGAAGAGAGATCAATAATGAAAGTCACCAGAGGTCTGAAGTCCACGTGAGGGTTTGGAACTGTTAGCTTCTGCCCACAGTCTCACCTGATTTACAATCTCTGAGATAAACAAAGAGGTTGGTGAAACCATCTTTCCCATTCCCAAATGGGAAACTTAGTCCCAGAGGCATCCAGTGGCATGGCCAAAGCTAAACTGTGGTGAGTGTGGCGGTGGTGGTGGTGGTTATGTGTCATAGAGTCAGTTCCAACTTATAGTGACCCTGCATAGGGTTTCCAAGGCTGTAAGTCTTTATGGGAGCAGAAAGCCTCTTCTTTCTCCTGAGGAACAGCTGGTAGTTTTGAACTGCTGACCTTGAGGTTAGCAACCCAACTCGTAACCACTATGCTACCAGAGCTCCTTGGGGAGCATGCTGGAGGGGGATTTTCAAGTCCCTGGAGACACAGAGAGGAGGAGAGATGGGGGTCCCCTCTGAGTGGTTCCTGGCCACAAAGAATTTCCTCCAGTTTGGAGGAAGCAAGAGTTCTCCTTTCACATTTGAATGTCAGAGATTTTGGGCTCACCGGTGACTAAGAATGGCTGGGACTTGTGGGTGTAGCAAGCACTTATATAGCCAACCTTTCTGTCCTCCAGTGACTGCAGACATTTGGACTGGGACACAAGACAAGAACATGACCAACCTGAAGATGCTACTCTTGGCTGCCCTCATCCTCACTGCTGTAGCACTTCAAGGCACTGAAGCAGGTGAGACTGGGGAAGAGGGCGCTCCCTGCAGAGGTCAAGGTCAGACACTAGGCTGTCTTTCTCACACACTAGACAGAGCGTAGATTGAAAGCAGATGACCCCAGTGGCAGGATGGGCTTGTAGTCTTGGGGTGATCACATCACTTCTTTGGGCCACAGTTTATACATTTGTTACATGAGTGGTCTTGAAGGCTTAGAGTCTAGGATTTACTTCAGCTGAGTAGGGGTGGCTGTAGCAGGTATAGACTGGGAACTCTTGCCCCAGAGAACTTGAGCATAGGACCATTAAGGTGTGGAGTAGGATCCACCAAGGAGGGCCAGCTGGAATGGGGAAAGACGGGAACTGGGGTAGGAGGTTCTCCCTTAAAAAGCTTGTCCTGCTCCCCACCTCACCCCACTTTTCCTCTAGAGCCTGCCCTCAATACTGGATTTCTGACTTTTCTTTATGCCACTGGAAACTCTCCTGCCATGTGATGGGAGTCAGGCAAACATGAATAATGACAGTTCGTGTTTATTGGGTTTCCGATAGCTTTTCCTTTCAACTAAAAATGCACAATATAGATACTAATATTACTTCGTTGGTCAGAGAAGAAAGTTGGGCTGTTGTTGATGTTGTTAAGTGCTGTTGAATTTGTTCATACACATAGCAACCCTGTATAGAGTTTCCAAAGAGCAGCTGGTGGATTTGAACCACCGTTCTTGTAATTAGCAGTCCAGTACCGATCCTACAGTACCACTTTAGAGATGTTACTTGCCTAGGGTGGCCTGGTGAGTCGGGACTCAGGCCTAACTCTGTGTGGTTACACTCTGCCTGAGCCCTGGTTCTGACTCTGCCATGATCTTTTGACCTTGGGCCAGTCCTTCCCCACTCTAGACTCAGCCTAGCCATTTGCACAAAGAAGTGGGTGAGAGTGTATGTGATCTGAAGTAAGGTGTCTCAAAACCTTGCTTACAAATCCCCTGGGGATTTTGTTAAAATGTGCACTTGATTCAGCAGATCTGGGACTAGGGACAAGCACTCAGGGTCTACTGATGCAGTTGGTCCCTTAGAATAGCAAAGCTCTAAGGCTCCATCTAAGGAGCTCTGGTAGCGTAGTGGTTATGAATCAGGCTGCGAACCTTAAGGTCAGTAGTTCGAAACTACCAGCTGCTTCGCAGGAGAAAGATGAGGCTTTCTGCTCCCGTAAAGATTTGCAGCCTTGGAAACCCTGTGCAGGGTCACTATGGGTCGGAACCGACTCCACGGTACTTAACAACAACAAGTCTCCAGATCCATCAGGTCCAGACTCTCTGAGTCCCATCTAGAAGCTCAGAGCACCATTGATATCAGTTGGTCCCCTTGAGTTGACCATCCTCCATTCCCCAGTGTAGACATTGAGTCCCTAGTGGCTTCTCAGAGGACCCAGAATCTCTGGACACCAACCTTCCACATGAAAACAGAAAAAGTGCATCTCTTCCCTGGAGCTTGGATGGTCAGGGTTGGGAACTCTTCGCATCCATCTCCTGCAGGTCCCTATGGTGCCAATGTGGAGGACAGCATCTGCTGCAAGGACTATGCCCGTTACCCCCTGCCCCTGCGTGTGATGAAAGATTTCTACTGGACCTCAGACTCTTGCAGGAAGCCTGGCGTGGTGTGAGTATGGAGTTGGAGAGCCTGGCAGGTGTGGCCCAGGATGGCCCAGGTGCGGATGGGTGGGGTAGGGGTAGGGAGGAATGCAGCCTGGAGGGCTTGGCTGGCATGGATGACTCAGTGCCAGTTTAGGTGTACCAAGAAAACAATAATATGGTAATTCAACAAATACTATCTTGTGCCAGCTATGTGCCAGGCCATCAAATGTGCCTACTTAGCAAAGATGCATCCTGTCGTCCCTCCCCCCCGCCCCCCGGGCATTATTGAAGGCAGCCCCTTTTTTACTGGTAGAATAAGTATTATGTGTTAACTTCTATGTGTCAGGCTCTATGCCGAGTGCTTAACCTACGTTAATCTTCACAGCAACCCTAGTTTATAGATGAAGAAACAAACTCAAAGACGGGAAGGTTGGATGCCCAACTCCTGGGTCCTTGTTCAGAGCTTAACTGGAGGTTCTCTATCTCCTATTCTCTTCATGCCTTAACTTCCTTCTCCCTTGTCTGGGACCTAAAACCCCTCATTGTTCCAGTTGGGTCCCCACTTTCAGCAGCAGCCCCTCTGTCTACTTCTCCAGCCCCTGGGAGCCAGCTGCCCTGGGGGTGTTTGAGTTTGAGGACTCCTGGCTTCTCCTGGGACTCCATCATCCCCTTCTCTTCAGCTTCCTTCACCTCACTGCTGACTCCATCTCTTAGAGAAGGGGTCTGCAGGTGAATAACAAAGAAGGCTGAAGCTGGAAGCCCTCCCAAGACTCATGCCATTTCAACTGAGCATCAGTTTTCTCATCTATATAGTGGGAGTAACATTTCTGTATCCCAAAGACGGCCAGTGTGCTTGCTAACTACTAGGCACTACTGTTGTAAGCACTTTATCAATATCAACTCAGTTAATCATTGAATAAACCTATGCAGCAGGTGAAAAGGGAATGCCCTTTTCACACACGAGGAAACAGGCACTGAAGGGATCTGGGGCCTTGGGAGCATTAGAAGACATAGTAACTGGAAGGGGAACTGTAAAACTCAATGCCTGGCACATAATAGGGGCTTGACAGAACTTGATACACGTGCAATCACTGGTTTTTGAGCTGGAAGGGACTCTAGAAAGAATGTGGCTTGACAGATGAGGAGATGGAGGCTCAGAGAGAGGTTGGACCCTACCCAGAGTCACACAGTGGCTGGGAAGGCTGCCCACGTGGCTGAACTGAATCTTGCTTCCTTCTTTGGTCTCTCTTTGTTCGTTGTTTATAGGGCAGGAGAATCAGGTGTCCCTAGACCTTTTGGACAAATTCTTGAGAGTCAGGAGAGAAGGGGGATGTCTCTACCCAAAGGGCAGTCCTCTAGGGCCTTAACTGGTGACTTGCTGTATGTCTCAGGTTTCTCAGAAGCACCCAGACAGGGGATGCTCTCCAAAACCACTGCCTCTTCCCTGAGAGTCTCGGTTCACAGTGTGCTTGGTGCAGCCAGATCTTACCAGCCATGGCACCCAGGCAATTTGCTTCATTTCTTTGGGCTTCAGTTTAGTCCACTGTAAAATTGGTAGACTAATAGTACCTCATAGAGTTGCTATTTGAATTCATTAAGGAAATCCATGTAAAAGGCTCAGATCAGCTCCTGGATATTTACATAGCATCTTTGTGTGCTATACACTGTTCTGACTAATTCAATGGATATAGAGATACATCAACTTGTTATCAAAACTCTATGAGGTTGGACTGTAATTACCATCTCCATTTTACAGGTATGAAAACGGAAGCTCAGAGAAATGAAGTAGCTAGTGTCAGATTACATAGCTAGCAAGTGGCAATGCTAGCATTTGAATCCAGCTATGTAGGGTAGTGGTTACGAATCGGGCTGTGAACCTTAAGGTCAGCAGTTCGAAACTACCAGCTGCTCCACAGCAGAAAGATGAGGCTTTCTGCTCCTATAAAGATTTACAGCCTTGGAAACCCTGTACAGGGTCACTATGAGTCAGAACTGACTCCACGGTACATAACCACCACCACCACATGTTGCCTCCAAGGAGTCCTAGTGTAGCTCTGTAGGATAAGCACTGGACCACAAGGTCAGTTTGAACCACAAAGTTGGTGGTTCAAACTCACCAGCCACTCCTCAGAACCCCTATACAGGGCCGCTATGAGTCGGAAACAAGTCTACCTACAGCACTTAACAACACAACATGCTGCCTCCAAAGCCGGTTTCTGGCCGATACCCAGTGCTTTCTCTCCCAAGGCAATGCCAGGGATTATCGTTAGACTGTTGGGAATTCTGTTCTATGGTTTGATCTGGCCCTCAAGGAAAGGACTGAGGGGTTGGAGAGTTCTTGTTGCTCATTGACCCCTCTGCCCATTGTGAAATGACGAGGGGGCTGTGTTGGTCATCTTTGCTGCATGCTAACGCTGCTGCTGTCTCCTTGGTCTCCTCCTACCAGACTGATTACCATCAAGAATCGGGAGATCTGTGTTGACCCCAGGATGCTCTGGGTGAAGAAGATTCTCAAGAAGCTGAGCGAATGAGGAAAGCTTTATCCTGACAACTCTGGCCCTGGATCCTCCAGGAAGGCTTGTTGCACCCAATACCCAAGACTGTGCCAAAGTTTCTGTGTTCTCTGATCTCCATCTCCATGGCCGACACCCTCGGTCAGGTCCCAGCACTGTCCCTCCCCACACCCAGAGTCCCTGGTCTCCAGAGTCCCATCCCTGTCTCCAGCCTTGACCCTGTTCCCTTCCTGCAGGTTGGGTTCCCAGTTCTTCACACCAATGCCTCACATTTGCAGTGTTGGGCCTTTACATGGCCTGTCCCTGAAACCTAGTCTACTCTTCCCATCACCTCCATGTGCCCACCTCCATCAGCCCAAGCTGCCAGTAATCAAGCTTCATTTTTTCAGACTTTCCTCCGCCCTCTGCCCATCTTCACAGCCCTGACCAGAGTCGACCCAGAAACTTCAAGATCTGAAGGCTTGTCCCCCAGTCCCACTGGTAGGACACATCTGAGTGACTCTTTTCTTCTGGCCCAGAGCCAGCGCTCAGCAGATGGCTGCAGAAAGGATCAGTAAATGTATTGTTCCTTCCTTATACCCTCCCAAAATCCAAACTCAAGGTCGCCTAGAGAAAGGCCAGCTAGGCCAATTGTGAAGCTCCAAATTTTCCCAGATTCACCTTTCTTGCTGTCTTAGTGTGGCATTATAGGATATGCATTGGACTACTGACTGCAAGGTCAGTGGTTCAAATCTACCAGCTGCTCCTCAGAAACCCTATATTGGGTCACTATGAGTAGAAATCAGACTTGATGGCACTTAACTGCAACAACATTATAAAGATAATCTTCTTACCTCCCTCAAATTTTTATTGCTTCCTCAACTTCCAGTACCCCAGCCTGCTTTCTTTAGCGTAACGTACACCTTACTGTCCCTTTGTCCTTCTCCAAAGAACTGGTATCCAAACTCATGCACTAATGTGACTAACTACACTTAACTTAGTGTTATAAGCTCTAATTATATTTGTTTATGAAAAGAGGGCAATTGGGTGGATGGGAGAATTTAGGAATTGTGAAGGAGGGAACAGAACGGAATTTCCTGGTTCTGGGAGCAATCAGTTGTAGATGAGCTCTATGTGTGAGTGTGTGGGTAGAGTTAAGGAGCCCTAAGGGGAAGGTATTCTCAGAGTGGCTTGATCCAAGCTAAAGACTGGAAGTTGGTATTTATCTTCACCTCTCTGAAGATACCAGGGTCCCCAGATAAAGGAAATTAGCTTTGTATGTGATTTCTCCCTTCCAAGGGCATCTGGGGGCAGTTCAGCAAGGTGGCTGGAGCTGTGTGAAGCTGAGGGGACCATTTAACCTCTCTGAGCCTCCCTGACAGATGAGGAAGATGGGAATACTCACCTTCCAGGAGGTTGTGGGGTTCAGATCCAAGGATGGGAATGGCACTTTTCCAGCCTTAAAGCTCAGTATCTTTCAGGGTCTATGTCCCACCTGAAACCCAGGATCCTCTGCCTACCATGGGCACAGGAATGCTGACCTGCCATGAATGGAGCTCTCATATGTCCTGGGATCCCCCTCCTCCTCAGGACTCTGTTTTGCCCTTGGTCCTCAGATCTTCTGGAAAATAAATTCTCTAAAACAGTGCCTGCTTTGGTTTCTTGGCATTTATCTGTTGTTGCTATGAGCTATCTGGGGCAGGTGTGTGTGTGTGTGTGTGTGGTGATGGTGGAGCAGCTATTGATGTTGAGATGTGAGGTGACTCTTCCAAGGTCATCCTGGGGCAGGGTGGACACAAGAATCCAAGAGGTGGCTGTCCAGTGTTAACAGGAAGTTCAGGCCTTCATCCCAGCATTCCTTCATCCAAGACCTGACCCACCCTTGTGGTAGCTTTCAAGAGGATCTGATGATGCACACCAATGTTTATAGCAGCACTATTTACAATAGCAAAAAGGTGGAGACAGCCAAAGTGCCCATCAACTGAAGAATGGATAAACAAATTGTGGTACATACACACAATGGAATATTATGCTACAT